CAGACAGAACACTGTTACATAATAAAAAAATAAATCTTAAAAACAAAAAAAAGTAAAGAAAGTCCTGTTAAAACTGTTTCCCAAGGTTATATTCTACCCTCTTTTACTTTTCTTTCTTAATTTCTTTCTCTCTCTCTCTCTTCTTTTCTGTAAACAGGCTTTCTCTGTGTAGCCCCAGCTGTCCTGGAACTCATTCTGAGGACCAGGCTGGTCTTGAACTCACAGAGATCTACCTTCCTCTGCCTCCTGAGAGCTGGGACTAAAGGTGTTCACTACTGCCACACAACATCTCTTTTACTTTTCCTTTAAAGAGTTTCACTAAATTGCCCAGGCTGGCTTTGAACTCATTCTGTAACCCAGTTGGGTCTTGAACTATCAATCTTCTTGCTTCAGCCTCCCCAGTAGCTGGAATGATAAGTTTATGGCACCAGGCTTGGCTGGTGTGATACTGTGACATGATGTTGAAAGCACAGAACAAGAGATAGCACGTGCATGTTTACTGGAACCACTTTGAAAGGAGGCATTGCATTGGGCTCACTTGGCTCCATATAGCCTTCCCATTTCAGCACCCTGGACTTCCTTACAGCCACCTTCGACCCAGTGAAGACAGAAGCCTTCAGAGAAAGGTGGGACAGCGCCTCTGTGGGCAGAAGGCACACAACACCTCATAACTTACTAGACTCATGTCATCACAACAGGCAGCACAGGTACAGGAGGCAGCATGAGGGTTCAGAATACCATCCTGAAATATAGAAGGTGCAATAGGTATTATATAGGCACAGATATAGAATTATATAGACATATAGGTAGAAATACAGAAATTAGGGAGTCTGCCCCTCCCAGGAGTTGTTCGGTGCTACACTGTATCCACCATCAAGGCACAAATCTGAGCATAAGATACAATCACTTCTGGAAACTTCCTGTCTGCACAATGCCCCACTGGCAGCAGGCTTGAGTCTCTCTCCCTAGGAATGAGACTCCGTAGACATTGGCCAGCCATAGCCAGGAGCTGACCTGGAGCAAGAATCAGAACTCCTTTGCCTTTGCCTTTGCTGGAGAGGGGGTGTAGGGGTTACAAGCACTTATTACTCTTAGAGAGGACCAAAGTTCAATTCCAAGAACCCACATGGCTCCTCACAGGTGTCTGTAATTCCAGTCCCAAGGAATCTGATATCACAGGTATCATGCACGGGGTTCACATGCACACATGCAGGCAAAACGCGAGTACACATAAAATAATAAAGCTAAAGAAAAAAAGGGTTTCTTCCTCATAAGGAAAAGGGAGCAAAAGGAAGGCAAGCGTGGCTGGCACTGCCACTCTGACTCCCTCTACCTTTACTCTCGTGTGTCTGACGTTTCCCTTTTTTGTGCCTACTGCTACTCCATCTGCTCCCGACAGCAATTCTCTGAGTCAATGCCAGTACACATCCAGGACAAGAATATCAATCAGGATATAAAGTGAATAAATTATAAAAATAAATTGAAAAAAAAGAGGGCAGGTAAATGGCTCCACTCATACACTGAGTACTTGTCATCACACCCTGCCTGGTGCCATGTTCTGAGCACTCCCCACTGATCGTTCTAAGGCTGGCTGGTCTCCGCACATACCTGGATGAGGCACTGCAAAGGTCTACCCGCATAGCGGATGCTTCTCTTCCAGTCCTTGCTGCTGGCTCTTCCTGCCATGGCTTCAAACTCAGTTGGGCTGTACCAGTTTTCTCCCTGCTTGATACATCTACCCCGGCCACCTGGAATGAAGGAAGCTGGTCTTTAGAAGTCATCAAGTTCTGCTGCTGCCTTGTCTTGCTGACACTGGTTTCTTTCACTGTCTTTTTTTTCTCTGCTCTACGTGGCCTCTAATCTCACCTACCCAATCGTCACCCAACAGGCTGCCTAGCAAGTCATCTCAAATCCACTGTCTATGGTCACTGCAAGCTGTACTGCATCAGCCCACTTCAGGGATCCTCTGTCATCTGAGTTGTCTGAGCTGGCTGGGAAATATGGGTAAGATCTGCCTCTCTCCTAACCCCTTCTCCCTTTCAGGGTCAACTATGAGGCTGAACTTGCCCTTAGGTCTGTTCCTGCCTTATGTCCTCCATGGCCTAGGCTCCAGAGACAAGGTCTGAAAGTCACTCATCTATCCATCTCTTCTAACATATTTACAATATGACAGGCTTCCTCGACCCAGTGTACTACAAAAGAACAAAGTCTTAACATGGAACCGTTGTAGCCAAGTGCTGCCTCACCTGAGCCGAGCCTGCTCTTGTAGAGTGTGCCACTGATGTTCCGACAGCGCACGGGCAACTCGCTGTCATAAACCGAGGGGTCCCAGTTGTACTTGGTACCACCTTTCTCCTGGCCAGTTGCCAGTGGGGTAGGAGGAGACTGAGGACCTGGGCAAAGAGAAGCTATGAGAAGGAGAGCGCAGAGTGACCCAAACAGCCCAGGATGCTCCATCCAAGCAACCCCCCCCACCCGGTACATAAAGATAACCTTGAAGGGTAGTGCCATACCTTCAATGGGCAGCACTCCCTCTCCTCCTGAAAGAGTTTGCCTTTCTATTGGTATCTATTTAGTTTTCACATTTCACACACACACACACACACACACACACACACACCTGGGGTAAGGTGCTGCAGGTACCTGGGGTGAGAGGTGTTGCTGGGCCCTTCAGGCCGGTGGTCTCCACAATGCTCCCATCTGTGTGTACAACTATTAGCGTGGCTTTCTCAGTGTTCAGACTATCCCCGATCTGCAGGGCTGTCCTACCAGACTAGAAGGAAAGACGCTCGTCAGCTCTAGGATAGCCAGAGGCACATTACTTGACCCAATGGAATGTGGTCCTGCTGCAAGACTCTAATCACACATCAGCAAGAGAGGATGTTCACCTAAGCCCACACATCCTCTTCACAGACAACCCCAAGGCACAGAAGGACAGAAACAAGAAGACACAAAGGCTATACAGTGTCTGCACATCTATCAACGCTGCTGCAGTGGACTATGTTCGTATGCACAGCTGATTTCTGCACAGTGAGCCAGGATGCCTTGTCTAAGAAGACAGTTTTGAAGGCTTCACATAGAAGGTACAACAGTGTGACAGACAAAACGTCTCTGATTTTAAACACCCTAGGTGTTGATATCTGCTCCTGCAGGTAAGGACTAATGAGAAAAGGACTAATGGACTGTAAGCCTCAGAGAAAGGGAGAGGGAGGTCGGATACAGTGATTCTTGGTGTGTCAATAAAGCTCAACAGAAAGCAAGCAAAGCCAGGCACTGAGAAGCTCTATCTGGGCTGAGAGCAGCCTGAGCTTGGTGGAACACAGGCTGCAAGGCCAGCTGGCATGGAGCATGGCCTGACCACAGCCTAAGGGCTCCTCATACATAGCTCTCGGCCTTTCTAGATTTCTATTGCACTTTTCCTGTTGGTGAACTAAGGCGAGGATCAAGCCCTAGCTTAATTCAGGTCTCCTGCCTTGCCTAGCCCAGCCCTGAGCTGCTGAGAGCACAGGGGAGTCTCCGTGGCTCCCAGAACAGAGGGTGCTCACTCCCATCTAAATCCTGGGAGGGTCTTGAGAATGAGGAGCACCCTTGGGGACTGTGTGGAGAAGTCAAAGGCTCTGAGGACAGCTGTGGGGCCCCCTGAACTGTACCCAAGCGCCGCAGCTTACCAGGACATGTCCTGATATGGACGCCGCGTTTGCCACTGATGTTGTGAAGACGTTATCTGCAGAGGAGCCCACGTTGGCCACGGTCACTGTGGTCACTTCTACAACAGAATGGAACAGAACGAAACTTCACACACCATGAAGGAAGAGCACGAAAGGCAAAGGTCTTACTTATGAGCCTTAAAGTGCCCATGTCCACCTAGACATCTTAACTGTCAATGCTCAGCTGACATCTCTAGTCCAGTCTAAAGAACTTGCTTCTCCCAGAAAAGGGGGCATCTACCCTTCCCCACCAAAACCTTTCACATACAGCAAAAATATCCACCATAGCCTCCCATTCCCACTCCACCACTGGCCTTTCTTTCTCCCTTTGCAAAGAAGTTGCAAGTCCCATAGGGCTGGGACACCTCCTTGTCGATCAAGACATGGCAGACTCCAGTCCAGCCTCATCCCTCTCCACTGCCATAGCTCAGGCCAGCCTACAGTCTTGTGTCCACTGTCTGAGGTCTCCATGCCATCCTTCCCCAGAAAAACATCTTCCTCCTGAAAAACACGTCAACCTCCCACAGCCACTCCTGCAACATGAACTTGACTTGGGGCAGACATGTCTACCATCAGTAACCTCAAAGCAGCGCCACAAAGATGTTATCATGTCCCCAGGCTTCCTGCCACACGTGCTGCTAGGTTCTTCTGTACCCTGCTGCCTGTCACAATGCACCCTTTGCAGCTGGCCTTCCCAATCTCTACAACAGGTTCTGTCTGCCACCCAGCATTCTAAAATGCCCAACACCCAGGAAAGCCTCTGGCATAAAATGACAACTGCAGCCCATTAATCCAGCCTTGACCAACCTGCACCCCTGTACCTGTCTAGCTCATATTCATTACTAATTCATACATGGGCACACCTAATTCACCCTTGACTCAGCTAGCAATGACCCACCTGGACATTTTCTGATGTCAGAAACTCACAACAAAAAATTAGAAACGTCTATACATAAATATACAACTAAAATTCTAAAACACACACACACCATAAAGATAATTCTCTGTTGTCACCACAGACATCGTATTTCTTTCCTGAACTCAAAAAATGTGTGTGTGTGTGTGTGTGTGCGCGCGCACGCGCGCGCAAAAATCCAAAAACTTCTCATGGTCCCAAATCCCAATATCAACCCAGAATTCACAGATGAAAAAGGAGCACTAAAAGCTCCAGGAAAAGCCAGGTAGTGGGAATGCACAACTTTAACCCCAGTACTCAGGAGGCAGAGGCAGGCGGATCTCTGAGTTTCAGCCCAGCCTGGTCTACAAAGCAAGGCCAAGACAGCCAAGGCTACAGAGAAACCCTGTCTAAAAAAACAAAAACAAAAACTACCCCCCACAAAAAGAGTCCTTCCAAGGGACCTGGGTTCCACTCCCAGCATCCACATGGTGGCTTACAAATGCCTGTAACTCCAGTTCTAGAGAACTAGAAGCCTTCCTCTGACCTCAAAAAGCATTAAGCAAATATATGGTATACAAATATATTTGCAGGCAAAGCAGCCACACACATTAAATGAATTAACTTAATTTAAACAAACAAACAAACAAAAAAGAACCCCAAGAAGGGACCAGAGAGATGGCTCAGAAGTTTGAGTGCATACTGTTCTTACAGCGGACACAAGTTCAATTCCCAGCACCCATAACAACATAACTCCAGCTCCATGAGGAACCTAATAACTCTACAGGCATCTGCAATCACAATCACATACACACAAAAAAAATAAAAATAAAAAATAAAAATAAAAAATTAAGATTAAAAAGCTCCAGGAAGCCTCCCTCACTTCTGTGACTGGATCTAGACTTCAGGTAGCCAGGGAAGAAAACAAGGAGAACCAAGGCTTCTCCACCAGTGCTCACAGTCCTGATGGTCTGAACAAACACCCAGCTGATAAGCTCAGCTCTAATGCACCCTAAACAGAACCCCAACGCCAAATCGGCAGTTTCATATTGGAAAATACACCTGACAGCACAAAGCGCATGGCAAAATGATTGAGTCCAAGGGTTCCAACCTACAAGCATAAAACATTCAGGAGCTCCACATGAGCTCAGAGCTCAGGAAGGCCAAAGGCCAAAGTGGTGGCATAGTAGGAAGCAGTGTGGTATGGCGTCACTTGTGCAGCGTGTTGCAGCTCCGCTCCGTTTGTCATAAAAACATGAGAATCAGGGTGCTCTGTGTGCAAAAGGTCAGAAGGAAAAAAAATGGAGAACTAGGTAATGGAGAAGGAGAGAATACCTGCAGAGGAAAAGGCCGACTTAGAAGATCTAGCACAGGAGACTCCCACCTCACTACACAAAGCAAGGCTGATCTCTGCATCATCACCTCTGAAAGGCTGCCTGCCTTGAAGCACTCTCCTGCTCCTCTTTCGGGACACACCTTTAGGCTAAACAGGTCTGCCAACAGTAATGCTAGCAGCATTACCATACCTGGAACTCCCCCAGAACAGAATTCACACCTGATCCATCTGTGCTATCAGCTCCCAGGAAGCAGCAGGAGAGGACAAGGCAGGTAGGTAGTAGGTATTCAGAAAGTTCCAAAGGATAAACAAGACAAAGAGTAGAGAGGCAGAGGCACACAAGGGAGCAAGTTATACAGTGCAGGGCCAGGCTAGTGGAGTGGTGTGCGTGTGCGTGTGTGCGCGTATGCGTGTGTGTGTGTGTGTGTGTGTGTGTGTGTGTGTGTGTGTGTGTGCGCGCGCGCGTGCTCCCGCGCAGGGCACTGAGAGGTGCGGGGCAAGAACACGGTAAGTGTGCAAGGCATGTGACGTGCATGAGCAGGTGCAGAGTTGGTGTTCAGGACATTGTGAGGTGCACGGGCAGGTGTGAGGCGCACAGGCAGGTGCAGCGCATGTGTACAAGTGTGAGGTGCACGGACAGGGGCAGGGCAGGTGTGCAGTAAGGTGCACTGGCAGGGAAGGTGCTGAGCAGATGTGCAGGACAGGTGGAAGAGAGCCTCTCCTGTGAGACAGATGTGCATGACAGATGCAAAAAGCATATGGGAAGCGGCCTGTGCGTGGTGCATGTGTTCAGGGACTGTACGCGGGAACCCAGTGAGGCGCGAGGCCGGCGGGCGCACTTGCCTGCGAAGGCGGCGGCGGCGGCAGCGGCGGCCTCATCGGGGCTGGGCAGAGCCTCGGTACCCATATCCATGTGCCCAGATTCGGCCGCCATCACCGCCACAGCCGTGACCCGCCGCGTCTCGCGCTCTGCCTCAGAGTCCGCGTCCTCCTCCGAGTCCTCGTCTCTGCTTAACACCGGCTCCTCCGCCTCGCTTTCCGCTGCGGCCGCGGCCGCCGCCGCCACAGCGGCCGCGGCCGCCACCGCTGCCGCCTCGGCCAGGCCCAGCTGTTTTGCCGCCGAGTCCGAGTCCTCCATACGGACTCCACCGAGTCCGCCCGAAGGCTCTGTCCGGGACCGCCCGAAGCGCCAGGCGCCGAGCGAAGCGGGGCCCGAAGAGGCCGCCCGAGTTGGGCCGAGGCCGCCCGAAGCCACCGCCCGAGCAGCGACCGAAGAGGCCGTCTGACGCCCGCCGAGCCGAGCCGAAGCCGCCCTCAAGCCGAGCTGATGTCCCGAGTGTAGAACCGACACGATCCGAAATTTCCCGAAGTGAAGAGTCGAGTCAGTACGAATGGTTCCGAAGCCTCACGAAAGCTTACGAAGGTTTCTTCCTCACTGCCTTGGAAGCTGATCTGATTGTAGTCACCGACTGATAGGGCTGGCCGGGTCTGGAGAGTTTCTCGCTGGCTTCCAACGAAGCCGACAGATCCTGGGGACACTGGATTTTTCCAACCCCCTCTGGCGGCGGCGGAAGCCGAGCCCACACGAGGCCTAGCCGAACTCCGCCGAATGTCTCCGAGCAGAGTTCTCCCGAGCCTCAGTGCCCGCCTCCTCCAGTCCGAAAGCTCCCGAGTGTTGACGGACGAGAATCCGGCCTCGGCCGCGGTCGGACGCCCGCTGTGGCGCGCGGCGGGAGGAGCGAAGATGGCGGGAGGGTGCGGCCAAGAGGCTGATGGGATTGTGGCGGACCCAGCGGCAAAATGGCGGCCGTGCGGCCAGGTGAGGCGGGCGGGGCCATGTGGGCGCCGGCAGAAAGTGGTCGTGCTGTCGCGATGAGAGGCCTTTTGGGCTGGCTCCGCAACTCCTCGATTGCCACCTCGCCATTCCGGGCCATGGTGGCTAAAGGCCACTAGTCCGGATTTCTGCGCTGGAATTGTGGGTTGGGGGAAGCGATGTTTTCCGGGTGGGCTTGAGTCGCTTGGGGCGGGGATCCCGGCGGCTCTCCTGAAGCTCCAGTTACATACCTGAGGCACATCTTGGGAGACCCCTGTATACCAGCATACCACACCTTCTGTGCGCCCGGGACCCACCTGCGGATTACCCAGAGTACACTACGGTGGCATACCAAGAACACAACCAGAATTCACCAAAGCCGGCATCCGTAGCATAGCTGTGGCTCATCCTCAGCACACCCATGGCACACTAGCTGCTCACCCGGTGTATACCCTTAACACACCTGTTTCTCATCCTGCGGTACACCCTTGGCACACAGAACTAGCACACCGAAGATACCTGCGACACAATAACTCGTCTTCAGCTCACCCCTGGCATACCTGCACCTCACCCAGGTACACCTGCGTACACCTGCTGCTCGCCCAGGTCTAAGGATAAGAAAGAATTAAATTTGTAGGAAGAAATAAAAGATGATTTAGGCGACCTCAAATAGGTAAAGTAGGCCTTGTGCCACAGACACGGCTATATGGTGTCTGTGTGATCAGGCCACAGGATCCAGTCACGAAGTGACCAGAATTCAAGACAATTACATGCTTTAGCCTGGATTTTCTGTAGCTAAGGGTAGGGAAGGGGCACTTGTTAAGTGCATAATAGGTAGGTTAGTTGTTTCCCTTAGACAAAGTAGTTTTGGAACTTCAGGGTCTTTTATCTCTTTTTGCAACCATGGAATGTATGGAGTAGGGGTCAGCTGCCTTTTATTTTTATTTTTCCTTCAATCCCCAAAAAGCTGGCTTCCTAAAACTTTTGAGCTAAGTTTCAGGGCCTTGGCTTTTGAAGGGATTCTTTTACCAGGTAGAGCTGAAACACACCTGATGTTCTCCCTAGGGTGCACCCTGGCACCCTGGTAGCTCACCACACATAGCAGCTCATCATTCATAGCTTGCCTCTGGCATGTGCTGGACACACTCAGGATATTTATAGCATACATTCTACTCACCTCAAGCACGCCTATAGTTCTCTCCAGTACATCCATGGCATACCTGAGGTACACCTTGGATACACGCAGGCATACTGGTACACACCAGACACAACTAAGGCATAATGTTAACTTACCCTTGTTGAGTACACACACACACACACACACACACACACACACACACACACACACATACATACACCTGTGGCTTACTTGAGTTCTGGGCTACCAGAAGGTGCTGTAGCCAACATTTCTGGGCCCAAATGATATGGGCAGGCAGGGCCAGGTGCCAGCAATGTGGGTCAGAAGCTGGTCATAGCCAGTTCAGACCTGTGCTTGTCCATCTATCCATCCATTCATTCTCCCAAATGTTCCTGTACTACACATGCAGCCTAGCCGCCAGGCACTTACTACCTGTGTAAGTAGATACTGCTTTGCTTAGTATCTGCCAAAAATGTGGGAGTGCTATTGTGTGTGCATGTTTATAATAAAAAGGGAATCCTGCGTGAGAGAGTGGTCTTGGAATTAAGTCATATAAAATACCCAGTTTCCAGTCTGGGCTTTTGGCCTTCTCTACTAATCCAGCAGTAGAGAGGCTGAGTCAGGAGCCTGGTTGTGAGTTCCAGGCCAGACAGGTCAGAACTAAGTAGTGAGCCCTGTCTCATTCAAAACAAAATAGTATAATCCCAGCATTTGAGAGACTGAGTCAGGATTATATATTCAAGGTCACCTGGGTGACATAGGAGACTCTTGTCCCCACCACCCCAAAAAGAGTTCTACCAGATGTAGCCTTTGTCATATTAAGAAAACATTTATTCTTTATTTTCTGGAGCAGAGATCCTTTTTTAATATTTATTTTTACCTTATGTACATTGGTGTTTTGTCTGCATGTTTGAGGGGGTCGGATCCCCTGGAACAGGAGTTAAAGACACTTGTGAGCTGCCCATGTGGTTGCTGGGAATTGAACTAAGGTCCTCTGGAAGAGGAGTCAGTGCTCTTCAACTGAGCCATCTCTCCAGCCCGCATTTGTTCTTTTAATTCCACAGTGAACTTCTTCTGCCTTGAATCTGCCACACAGTATTACCAAAAATCACTGATAAGAAAAGTATTAAATCCCAGGAGTCAGAAGTTCAGCCAGAATGAACTCCTATAGATTTTTAAATGTTAGAATCATTTTAATTAATTAAATCAGTTATTTAAATATGCCACTTAAGCCTGGTGTAGTGGAGTACACCTTAAATTCCAGCAAGAGGCAAAGGCAGGCAGATCTCTATGAGTCTGAGGCCAACCTAGTCTATATAGTGTGTTCCAGCCAAAGTTACATAGTGAGACCCTGTCTCAGAAAACAAACAAATATTATGTCATTTGAAGGTTTTATACAATATGTTAAATACTTTTTTATTGTGTTTATATGGAAGTGAGCACTAGAGTGCCAGGTGCCACAGAAGCCCATATAAAGCATAGATTTCTTAGAGCTGGAGTTACAGACATTTGTGGCAGCCTGATATGGGTGCTGGAGCCAAGTGCAGATTTTCCCTAAGAGCAGTATGTGCTGAACCATCTCTCCAGCTATACAGTATTTTTTCCCCAAATCTCATAATTTTGATCTTCAACAATAAGCCAGCAGATACAATTTAAATGCTTCTTTTGGTGGGGGGGGGGGGGTGGCAGTGTTGAGGACTGAACCTGGGACCTTTGCATGCTAGACAAGTGTTTTGTCTTTTATGTGCATCTCAGGTATTATTAGAAGGATCCAAAGGGAGGCTAGAGAGATGGCTCAGCTGTTAAGAGCACTGTCTGCTCTTCCAGAGGACTCAAGTTTGATTCCCAGCACCCATGTGGCAACTCACACCCATCTGTAACTCCAGTCCCAGGGGATCTGACACCCTATTCAGGCCGCTGCTGGCACTTTGTGCATGAGATGCACAAACATACATGCAGGCAAAAACACCCATGCACATAAAACTAAAGGGGGAAGTGTTTTTAAAAAAAGTTAAAAAAGGATTCAAAAGGATGAAAACGCCAGTTAATGTAAAACCAACCCAAATGTTGACAGGTATCTGGGTAGCCTCGTTTAGCTGGGGCCTGGAAAAGAACAGATCAGGTTTACTGGAGCACCCTGTGGAAACATGATGCCTCTCCAGCCGCGCTCACTTGGCTTCCTGCTCCCACACGTGTGCCTGCTAGCTGGCTGTCCAAAGGCTGTTACTAATGACCTGTGTTTACCAGTGTATGACTCTCCCATACAAGCGTCCACAACAGAGTAGGCAGCTTCAGGCTGGCCTTCAGAGTCAAGCGACCCATGGAAACTCACCATGGCATAACCTGATTCCTTTTCTGCTTCAACCCTAGGGAGCACAGGGAATAGAGCAGAGGACATGCACATGCTCTGTCTCTGCTCAGAAGTCAGCCTCTTTTATAGGAGGTTTGGCCAAATTCTGAAGCTTTTTTACTTGTTTATGATGTGCATACACATGTAGAGACGTGCACAGCGTGAATGTGCAGCTGGTGTGAGCCTCCAGACAGGCAGTCTGACCCAGGTCACATTCCATCCCGGGATGGGCCAGGCAGATTGTCGAATACAACACTTCAGACTCAGAGACAAAAGGGAGTCCCCATTACACCCTAGGGCTGACTTTCACAAGGTGAGGAGAGTAACACGATCATTGAAGAGGCTGCATAGCTCCATGGCTGCTTTACAGAGTACTCCTCCCAACCCCCAGACAGTTGTTTTGGGAAAAACTGAATAAAATTCCAGCAAAAAGAAAAGTCCTAGAAGGGATGGCTGTAGAGGTAAGACAAGAGCCTAGCTGCAGCCATTGGCCACTTCTGTTTTCAAACATGGAGTCAGTAAATTAAACATCTGCCATGTTGCTCTTGATGTCTTACTGGCAATCCTTTGTCTTCCAGGGAGAGGCTCCTTCAAGGTGGTATCCTGCTCCTGCTTCTCAAGGCCTTGACGAAACACAGTTCCCTCAGGCAGCACCACACCAAACTGTTGGCCTGGCACAGCCTGCTTTCTACCTTTCTGTGCTCTTCATGCCCCTTCCCCCGTTTTTTTTTTTTTTTGTTTGTTTGTTTTTGTTTTTCTTAAATTCTGACTAGTAACTTGTAAGAGGGAGAGGTGTTCCCTCATGTAATGGTTCTGTCACCCACCAGCTCAGCCCTGTTCCCTTCACAGGCCTTGCACATTAGAAGGGTTGCCACTTGCCTGCCACCAAGCGAACCAATGTGATAGAAGGTGAAAATCCCCCTTACTTTGAATGACCGTGTAATATGTTTTCTCTAAAGAAAATGCAAAGGATCCCCTTTGTAACTCCCTCTGTCCTGTCTGCATCTGCTGAGGACTGGAATACTTAGGTCGTGCCTTGCAGAGGTGGGAGGCTCCCAGCATCACTCTTGTGACCACTAGGTGCCCTCAGATGAGCACTCCAGCAGCCCATGTAGCAGTAAAAGCCCCAGGTAGGCAGGAGCAAATAGCTGGGTTCCATGACCATCTGTAGGTGCCCTCTGTTTGAGTCTACTCAGACCTGCTGATTTTCAGCTATGAGTGGCAAAACAGGCCCTGCTGCTTGGCCACCTGGGTAAGTGTACCCCCCCACCTTGAGTCTGAGGATCCTTGACTTCTTACCAGCTCTCCTCAGTTCCTCTTCAGATGCTGTTTCACCTCAGTGGGCTGTACTATGCCCTGTACTTCCTAGCTACACTCCTGATGATTGCATATAAAAGTAAGTTAGAGTGCCAGGCCCATCAAAGGAATTGTGCCCCTAATAAGCTTATCTGAGTTCCAGCTCTGTGTGTGTGTGTGTGTTCCTAGGTCAGGTTTTCAGCTATCCTCGTAACTATCTGGTCCTGGATCTGGTCCTCTTGTTTGTGATGGGAGTTCTCGAAGTAGCTCGGCTATACCTAGGTAAGTTGGCTGTGAAACCATGAAATGCTTGTGGTCCCATAGGTGTTCTTCCCAACTTTCTGAGCCTTTAAATGTTAATCTTTTCTAGTGTGGGTCTTGGAGCCATTTTCACTCAGGCAGCTTTACCAGGTGTTTTGCAGCATCACCTTATGTTGTCATTAAGTATTAACCATTTGTTCAGAAGCTTTGCTCCAGGAACGACACTGGTGACATCCTCCTGTCTGGAAGGATACGTATACCACTCAGACCAGAGGCCCAGCCTAAAACTAGAGATCCAGAACACTCCCCCCCCCCTTCCCTGTTGGCTTCAGCCCTCAGGGAGTTGTGGAGTGCTTGCCAGGTCTCTTGCAAGGAATGGGGACCCTGCCTCCCCAAATCCGCTCACTGTCTCATCAGTTTTCACCTTAGAGGCCACTCTTAGCCAGTTGCCTTTTCATTTATTTTGAGATAGAGTCTCATGTAACTAAGGCTGGCCTTGAACTCCTGATCCTTCTGCCTCTTCCTCCTGAGTGCTAGAATTGTAGGCATGCATCATCATGTCCAGCTTTTATGCATTGATAAGATCAAACCCAAGGCTCATGCATGCTAGGCCAACACTGTAACAACTGAACTACATCCCCACCCCACCCCACCCCATTTTAAAAAAAATTCCTAAGTCACAAAGTTCATTTAGATCAGAGTTAGGGTCAGAATAGATAGGTTCTTTTATTTTTTTTTAGTTTTATCTTATTGGTGTTTGACTGTATGTATGTCTGTGTGAGGGTGTCAAATCCCCTGGAACAGGAGTTATAGACAGTTGTGAGCTGCCATGTGGGTGCTGGAAATTGAGCTCAGGTCCTCTGGAAGAGCACTCAGTGCTCTTAACCGCTGAGCCATCTCTCCAGCCCCTAGATAGGTTCTTCTAATAAACAAGGAGTGTAAAAGTAAAGCATAGAAGTCCTCCTCCCAGAGCTGGCTACAGGGATGAGCACAGGTCTAGGTCTCTAGCTCTGCCCCTACTTTTTTCCTTTACTCAGTCACAGACATGTATAAAGGAGGTGTCACCACAGGTGCTGCAGGTACAGTGCCCTGTCAGGCTCTGATTCTTTTGATTGGATCTGGTGCCTCCCTCCCCCCCCCTACAGGGGTAGCAATTTCCTTCCTGTTCATCCTAGACAGAGCCCCAGTGTTTGCTGCCACAGACTGTGCTGGAGCTTGTACGGCTTGCTCAGTAGGCAGGCAGTGCTCCCATGGGGTGCAGAGACCGTGGCTGCATGGATGAAGAGTCAGGCCAGTGCTTTGTAGTGCCCTGTCCGGGGCTGGCAGCATTGGACCTCTCTAAGCACTTGGCACTCAGCAGGCCCTTGAGCACCTCCCATCCAATAGAGTCAGCCTAAGAAGATACGCAGGGCTAGGGTCAGCAGAGCTTCAGGTATCCTTAGCATCTGGGGTCAGCAGACCCTTGGGCACCCCTGGCAGCTGGCCATCTACTGGCAGCTTCCAAGTTGGCATTTTCCATGACCCATTTGTTTGTAAAATGGGCAGTTTTATTTTTCATAAGTATTCATGAAATTTTCCAGAACCAGGCTGCCTTAGCACTGAGTGAAATATTTTTAGATATTTTAAACAAGATGCCTTTGATCCCACTTGGAGTTGGGAAAAGGTGGCAAATGCCCACAGTTTTAAAACCAAACTGTTTGTGCCTCAAGAGTATACAATCTGAGATTTGCCCGTTGGTACTGTCTGACATGCAGCGGCCCCAGGGGTTAGTTTTCCCAAATCCAATGAATTCATTGACCCGTAGCAAGCACCATGCCTGGAGCTGGGCAGTCGGTGGGTGTCCTATAGCCCCTGCCTCACTGGAGCTGGGCAGTTGGTGGGGTCTGCAGCCCCCTGCCTCACTCTCTTGTTTGCTCTCTTCTTCAGGCACAAAAGGGAACCTGACAGAGACCGAAGTGCCACTGGCTGCCAGCCTTGCATTCACAGCAATCAATGGCCTCCTTTCCGTTCACTTCTTGCTCTGGCAGACCTTGGTACTGTGGCTGGACACAGTTTTCAACACCATTCTCTTAGTGCTGCATGGGCTGGAGATTGGCCTGCAGGTGGTGGTCATTGCCAACTTCATCAGGTAGATGGTCCTGGGTAACCTGCACAGCAGAGGGCTCCTCAGCCTCCAGCCAACTTTTTTGCCAAGACAAGGAGGGTACCTTTTTTTAATTGATTGTCTATAGATAGTTTTATATGGTTTCTAATATTTTTTTAGTGAGGGGGG